TTCGGCTTGGTCGGCGCTGTTGCTTCAGGAGGGGGTCTCATGAAGCGCGTCGTGTAATTCATTCCCACACTGGTTGCGCTGTCGCTTCATGAGGTATATTCAACTTGATTAGCTCGGCTGCTTCATGAGGGGGACTCGTGGAGCGAGCGTCACAGTCAAGGAGCGTGCGTCGTGTAATTAATTTCCACACTTCTTGCACTGTTGCTTCATGAGGGGTCTCCTGGAGGTATATTCAACTTGATTGGCTCGGCTGCTTCATGAGGAGGACTCATGGAGCGAGCGTCAGTCAAGTTCGACCTGTTTTCGCTGTCGCCTCATGAGGGGTCTCATGGAGCGTGCGCTCTGTAATTAAAGCCGGTTTTGTTGGCACTGTTGCTTCATGAGGGGTCTCATGGAGTTTAAATTGACTTGAGTAGCTCGGTTGTTTCATGAGGGAGCTCATGGAGGGAGCGTCATATAGTTCAAGTTCGGCGGGGTCGGCGCTGTTGCCTCTCGAGAAGGGTCTCAGGGAGCGTGCGTTGTGTAATTAAATTCATGTCGACACTGGTTGCACTGTTGCCCCATGAGGGGTCTCATGGAAGGGTAAACTCAACTTGATTGGCTCGGTTGCTTCATGGGGGGGACTTATAATGGAGCGAGCGTCATTCCAGTTCGACCTGGTTTGCGCTATTGCCTCGAGGGGTCTCATGGAGCGTGAGTTCTGAAACTAAGCTTGCCTTTTGGCGCGACTTGGTTGGCGCTCATGTGCCACGCGGTCTCATGGAATAGGCGTTTATCAACCAAGTTTCACTTGGCTGGCGCCGTTGCCTCACGAGGGGTCTCATGGATTGTTCAGTTCAACTCGAACGGCTCGGTCGTTTCATGGCCAGACTCAGTTCATGAGGCATTTCAACTTTATGGAGACTGGATTGGATCCGTCCTTCCATGCATGAGGGGGCTCATGACAGGAGCATCATCGTCCGTGTTCGACTTCGTTGCTGCTGTTGCTTCATGAGGGGTCTCGTGTGATCCGCACAGAAGCTTCAAGTGATCTCTTGGAACGTTAATTCAATTTGGCCAGTGCTGTTCCTCCAGGGCATTTTTTCAGGGGTCAATCTTGAGTCATTCAATTTGACTTGATTGGCGCGGTTACTCCATTGAGGGGATTCATGGTACTAGCATCAGTTCCAGTTCCACTTGGTTGGCGCTGTCACTTCTTGAGGGGCCTTAGGAAGCGTGCGTTTAAATACCAGACCAAGTTGGTTTGTTCCACGCTGTTGCTTCGCATGAGGCGTTTCGTGGAACATGCGTTCATATTTCAAGTTCGACTTGTTTGGCGCTGTTGCTTCATGAGGTGTTTCATGGAGCGTGCGTCCACAAATCAAGTTTGACTTGGTTGGCGCTGTTGTTTCACGAGGGGCCTCATGAACTGCGCATCAAAGTCGACGCTGGACTTGGTCGGCGGTGTTTGTTCATGAGGGGTCTCATGTGTTTTGCGCAGTTGCTTCAGGGCGTTTCTTGGAGCGCTGATTCAATGCGGCTAGCGCTGTTCTTCCATGAAGGTTTGCATGGGCCATTACTTATAGTGTGCGTGGGCCTCTTTGTCTGTTGCCCACCTGGATCTATATGGATCTATATATAAATGTGTGGATCTATATATAAATAATGTGAGGATCTGTTGGAAAAAGGTCAGGATGGAAAATACCCAGGTTGCCTCACCCACTCCTGACACATCTTGGAGTTCACTCATTGGCTCTAACTTTTTTCCCCTCTCACACTGCCTTCAAAGTCTCTGGGAGTGTGTGTGCGGAAACGCACGCACCTTGCACAAATATGGATTTGGCCAATGTGGCAACCCATCAAATCTAAATCGAACTGATTCATCAAAAAAGTGAATCGCCCCCGTTTGCGGCCCTTGGGCTTAGGGGCGGCTGCTTCAGGCGGCTCAGCTTTGCTGCGCTTCTTAGCCGCAGCCTTTTTCTTCACATCCGTGTCAGGCGCACCGCTCCTTAGATTCAAGGTAAATGCTGGGGGATAGGAAAAAGTAATTCTGGGGCTTGGGGGAAAATGTGTCCCCACAAAACACCAATGATGCGCCTCCCCAAATCACCCATGAAAAATTGCCAAAATTGGATTGTGTAGTCACTGTTGTCTGTGTAAAAAATTGGTTTCTCAAAACCACTGAAGTCATCACCAATTATACAATTGGAGTTCTGTGGTAAAGGTATGCCTCCCCAAATAACAAACAACACAAATTGAACCCTTGCTCCCCAAATCGCCAATGAAAAAAACAAGAACAATTACAGAATGCTGGCAACTTGGAAATAAACGCTTCGAGTACAAACTAGCATCTGTTTCGGTTTCTTCCCAAAGTCTTCAAACCGACTGCGAAGGGCCGCTGGGAAGTCCTTTGGTGAAATGCCAAAGATCTTGGCAATCGTAGATGCGACCTTTCTGGCGCTTGCCAGCTGTTCCTCTGGCTTCGCATCCTGGCCCAACACCAAGCACTGCGTCGCCGCCAAGCAGCTCACGACGTTGGCAATGTTGCGCTGGATGTCCTGTCCAGTTTTGCAAGTCCAGCCAAATTAAAATGGGGGGTGCCCAGAGTGTAAATCCTTTCAAGAGAGCCTGCGTAAATGTGCCAGGATCTATATATAAAACCTGTGGGGGGTGCCCAGAGTGTAAATCCTTTCAAGAGAGCCTGCGTAAACGCGCCAGGATCTAT